CTATTATTTGTTGTACTCCGATTTTCTTGACTAATTCTTCGCTCGAGAGTTTGGCTATATCTCTCTTTTCCTGTTCATCTTGTATTCGGATAGTAGTTCCGTACGACTCTCCCTTGCTTGCGACTTTTGCCCAGGAGCGGCCTGGGGCTTGGATTTGTGGACTACTTTGGGTTATGGAGGCTTTGATATCCTTTATCTCCTGTAGTATCTTAGCCATTGCAGAATTATCGTTACTATGGCCAGTCTGAGCGGGTATGGGGGGGGAGACTTTCGCTTTCTGAAGGCTCTCGATTAACTGTATAGCCTCTTCAATTATTCTCCTGTACGCTCTACTGGAGAGCTCTTCGCCTTTCGTTGCGTCCTTGAATCTTTTCAAGGACGCGTTTGTGTCTTGTTGTGCCTTTGACGCGACTCCACCACCTCTAGAACCCGCGCAAGGCGTTCCACCATTAATTCCTCTCGTAGGAATACTCGTCATCACGATTACGATAAGCTGTCAACTTTATAGATAAAAATCTGTGGGGTCGATTTTTCGGAATGTGGATGTTTTTTGATTATTATTATTATTATTATTATTATTATTATTATTATTATTATTATTATTATTATTATTATTATTATTATTATTATTATTATTATTATTATTATTATTATTATTATTATTATTATTATTATTATTATTATTATTATTATTATTATTATTATTATTATTATTATTATTATTATTATTATTATTATTATTATTATTATTATTATTATTATTATTATTATTATTATTATTATTATTATTATTATTATTATTATTATTATTATTATTATTATTATTATTATTATTATTATTATTATTATTATTATTATTATTATTATTATTATTATTATTATTATTATTATTATTATTATTATTATTATTATTATTATTATTATTATTATTATTATTATTATTATTATTATTATTATTATTATTATTATTATTATTATTATTATTATTATTATTATTATTATTATTATTATTATTATTATTATTATTATTATTATTATTATTATTATTATTATTATTATTATTATTATTATTATTATTATTATTATTATTATTATTATTATTATTATTATTATTATTATTATTATTATTATTATTATTATTATTATTATTATTATTATTTTTGAATTTGATTTCATTGTCCTGATTTGGCGCCTTAAGGCCCATGCAGGTGACTATAAACCTAAACTATATATACATGAGGGGGAAACCATAACGATAAAAACCCCCTCCCCCTTTAAAATTTTTATATCTGTAGTCCTTCGTTACCTACAGGAAGTGCAATTGGCCTTTAGCCCGACACTGGACTAGCTAAAGTTGTATTCGACCTCGCCATTCTTTCCCTGCCCTCGCGTGCTGAAAAGTGATGACTGTGGCCTTGAGTTTGACCCCGATGGTGCAAATAGTGGAGGTGGTGCATTAACCAGGGGCTGTTTGCGCGGGCGTCCTGGCCCCCTCTTGAACACCTCTGGCTTTTGGTGGGACACCAGTGTGAATCCATGGTCGTCCATTTCTTTTGCCGCTGTTATTAGTTGTGATGCCGCTGGTGCCGTTTCCTCTCTTCTTAGATTTGCCGTTCTTTCCATGAGTTCATATCTGGCCCTTTGAACGCTGGCCTTATATGACGCGAAGTTTTGACACGCCCCCTTCTGCCACGATTTATGGGCTTTACCGCAGTTGCAGCAAAGCACCGACTTCTTCGGGCAGTCTCTGGTCTGATGAGTGCCCGCACACTCACCACATCTTTTCGCCTTGGTACATGAGGCTTGGGTATGCCCCCATTCGCTGCAGTTGAAGCACTGCTTGACTTGCGCACGGGGTGACCAGAGCTGGGCCGTGTACAGCATTGAGTTGAAGACAATGCCGTTTCTTGTCACTTCGCGTTGAAGTGCCTCTGTCGGAAGGCTCGCGATCACTGATCCTCGAGTATGATTTTTCTTTGCCATCCATTGGTGCTCTTTACCGTCGTAAAGCCACCTCACCCTATTGATTTTTATGTCCGGAATCCGAACTTTTGTTTCCTCCGTTATTTGATTTATCAATGTGCCATTGTTGGCATCTTTTCCTCCTCGTATTGTTGTCCCCAATGGGACTCCTAAAATCTCAACAGGATAATCCTGCTTTACAACGCTGAACTCCTTTGGTTGCGTCATCCTCAAGGCAGCGTCTCGTTGGGAGACCGACTGCACAAACACCTCAGTATCATTACTCCTGAGCTTCCTTACAGCATATGCCCCCTCGATGTGTTGTTTTGCCTTGTAAAGCAGCTCTGCCGGCTGCATGTTTTCTGCCCCTTCAACTCGTATCCTTACTGCTGCTTTGGTCGCTGGCGGTGCGACGATTGAGGCGTAGGTAGGTCGACCTCCCATCATTTGTGCCGACTGAGGAGCCGCCTTGCGCGACGGCTCCTCGAGACTCTTCGTAATAGCCTTCTCTAAGGCAAGCATCCTGTCCTCCATTGGCTGTGCCGACATCTTCGATTGTAACATCTGAATGTGGGCTTTGAAAGCGTCGAGAGCCTCATCTATTTCCACCATTGGTGCCGACGATATGTATGAACCTGCGTTCACAAGTCCGCGTCGGACCTTACTTAAATATTTAGCCACTGTCTTTAAATAATCCATGTTAACGCCTGTAGAGGTCGCGAGAGACTCTACAGCCATAATTGCGGCTGTTCCGCTGCCCATTGTTGGTTTGGGTGGTGCCGTGAAAAAATTTTCAGCCGCGAATTCCGCCCTACTGGCTCCCCAACTCGCCATGCCGAAGCGCAACGAAAAAAATTCGAGGAATTAGGTAAGAGAGATTGATTAAGATGAATGCAATAATAATTACGATGAAATAACGTTCGTGGAACGTTGTGCCGCTTTTCGAGAAAAATGATGTTTTCTTATCTTATTATTATTATTATTATTATTATTATTATTATTATTATTATTATTATTATTATTATTATTATTATTATTATTATTATTATTATTATTATTATTATTATTATTATTATTATTATTATTATTATTATTATTATTATTATTATTATTATTATTATTATTATTATTATTATTATTATTATTATTATTATTATTATTATTATTATTATTATTATTATTATTATTATTATTATTATTATTATTATTATTATTATTATTATTATTTCATTTTATTGTCCTGCATGAGTCTATGACTATGTAGGGCATGCAGGTCCTCTCTACCTACAGGCCAAGGATACCTATACAAGTAGTATATCCCCTTCTATGACTCCCATACAGCTCCCCTCAAACGGTACCACCCTTCACAAGTCCTCATTCGATCATACACTTGGAGGAGCCCTTTGCCCTTCATTGTCTCCCCTCTCCAGCCAACGAAACGATGGCCATTTGCGGGTGTATGGCAGCCGGGAAAAATCGCAAAAATAAAAAATAAAACAAAAACCACTGGGTGCGGAGCTCTCCTAATACCGACATTAGGAATAAATCCGAAGACATATTGCCCCTTCTGAAGCGTTCGAAGAGGCCGGCCAGCTGGGCGCTGTAGACATGTGTGTACCTCGGAGAATTCACACTCTGCCTTTCTAGCCTCCTTCCAACTCCTTCCCGAAGGTCGTGCCAAAATGTGAGAAAAGTTTTGACAGATCGTGATTGCTGTATAGTAGCTTAGTCTAACTTCTTTTGTACCGTCCAGGGCGCTGTGGAGTGTCGTTGACTCATCGACAAAGGAAGCCCTCCTGGCTAATTAGCCGAAATCTTGGTCTTAGCGCCCACACAAAATTCAAAGTTGAAAACCCCTCGAAAATATCAGTCCCAGCATGACCTCTAGAGACCTGTTCCCCCTCTCGCTCCATATTTAAGCCGCCTGTTCTTCCTTAAGTTGTTTGTCCCATTAGGACAACAGTGCCCCACAAGCCAAGACCCAGGCTTTGTATTTTCGACTTGATTTCCTCCTTGCGGGTATAAAAAGCGTCGTAAATTTGTAGTGAGAGATGGCTGGAAATTAATGGGGCAAGCTCCTGTATGCAATTGGAGCAACTTTTTTATTGGTCGTCGAGGCGAGATGATACGTGGTTAGGGATGGGTTGAGGACTCAGCTGATAATGATGAGAGAGGCATTTTCGAGAAGTTGTCAAATGGAGATAAAGATGTGTTTGCTTTCGACTTCAATTCGTATGTGATTCTTCTTGGCTATCCCAGATATGCAGAGCATGCTAAGTGATTATACCGGCACCACTGGAAGGTGAATAATTCGCCTTTGCCGGCTTACATTGGCTGTAGGTACACTGTATTTTCATAAAAGATTTATATTAACCGTAACTTTTTTCTTTTGAATTCCTATTCCTACCCTAAAAACTTTTAATAGTCAAATATAGTACAACTTCCAAGTTAGTCTATGATCAATAATTAAAAGTATTGAATCTTCATTTTACTGACCTCCGAACCAATGTAACCGAGACATTCCAAATTAGAGCCTCTAAAGCTCATCTCTTGATAGGTCGTAGATCATGTCTCTCATCCCCTATTAGTTGATATATACGTAATCATAACCAGAAAAACCAAGGCCTCAAAAAGTGCGTCTACTGCTACTAAGTTATTCCACTTGTAAGCAATAGCATCCATTGTAACCACGTAATCCGTGTGAAAACTATCAGATTAGCAGATTTCCCAAACCATGTAGAAAATATACACAAAGGTGCTAACACAACACCCGACCTTGAGAGAATCATTTGCCGAAAAATCAAAAATTGAAACTTTTCGAAACAGTATCTATCCTTAGCGTAATCTTTTCTATCTATTATCATCTCTCTCACTCCTGTGTCAAAGGTTTGTCTCGGTAAGTTCGTACGCCGTGATTGAAGACCTCCCACGGGTATCTGTGTGGTAGTGGGCGTGTACTTGGGGGTCGGATGAGGTTGAGGACTGGATTGAAGAGGTAAGGCCGCTGAAATGATGGTGTAGTATATCATACTTGTAGACTAGATGATGGTTTGTTCGAAGCCGAACTCGTTGGGAGTGAGCGATTGATTTGGTAGTGAGTCCTGAATCATTGCTTCGTTAGGCAACTTCTTTGGTATGGCGCAATTCGACTGAACTTGGCACTGGGTGAGTAATTCACTTCCAGCTTCGTACAGGACACCTCGGAAAGGTGACGAGTCTTCGTCCTCTGATAAAGGGTATTTCGCAGTACTTTGGCTCAGCTTTCTGAATATGCAGCGTTGAAAGGTGCGAAAGACAGGGCAAACCTCAGGCAACACAGAACACCAATATGAATGGTGAAGGTCGTCGAGTGGGGTAAAGGTGAAAGAGACTCACATTGATAGGATCAAATGTGTCAACGGTCAATGATGATAGGCACAGCATCGGTACTAAAGGGACGAGAATTTGATAAGAAAGATCCTCTTACGGCAACTATCGACTCGGGCACGTGCGGCGGTGAAGATGTGACGGACTTGGCCTCGTTTTCCGTGTGCCATGTGCCACACACGCTCTGACTTCAGGCTGGGATGACAGATGGTGACGTCAACGTATTAGAGCGGCTTAACAAGTTCGCGCCATGACGCGTGACGCGACTAGGATAACTCCGGCTCAGCTCGGGCCTACTCGGTCGAATGGGATGGTCAGTATTGAATGACATGACTGCACAAGACTAGTCCTGGTCGGGGAATTCGGGCCTGATGCTACAAGCCAGAGCTATTTGCAGCGGGGACAGCATAGCTTGTCGCCGCACTCAAACGTGACAGGCCCTGGGTCTAGTGGAGGGCTTTCCGCTTTCGGTGTGGGCGTGGTCACATCGCGCACAAAGGACGCAAAGACGAATGGGGCCAGACATGCGCTTCATGCGCCCGTGGCCATCTAAAAGCCCAGGCGTCTGCTGATTTGAGGTATAAAGTCAGCGGCACTCCATCTTCTGCCACCATCGACCTGCCATCATTCAGAAAGCCTCCCATCTAGAGTTCACAGAATCCAAGCAAGCCTCAAAAACTTCATCTACAAATCTTCTCCCAACTTCCATATTTAAATTCCATCATGAAGGGAGGATGCGGATGTTCCGGTGCTGCCGTCTGTGAGTATTCCTCGGAGCAGAGCCAAATCATCAAAATTCTAATGCGAAGCGCAGGCCAGTGTGGCTCCTCGTGCACCTGCTCTAAGTAAAGGATAGCCAGATGAATCTTCTCTCAGCTGGCTCTCCGTCGCACCTTATCGATTGATCGTGTTGCTATGGAAGCGATGGGATAAGCCCTTGGCTATGGGGGATCTACCTTACGAAGCGTTGGTCCGGGGTGGGTGGTTAAGGGAAAACATAGGGGATACTTGCGGTGGTTAATTGGAGATTATCGACTTAGAAAAAACTGTTCAAGCCACGAATTTATGACATTGGAGATTGTGAGTGATTTGCCAGGCGCCGTATACGACACTCGTCGGCTAGTAGCCGAGGGCACGCGGCATGATGTAGGCACTTTAAAATTCAATTGATGTAGGCACGCAGCTGCCGCTGCTCGTGACGCAGGTCGAGTCTAAGTCCCGAATCAGCAATGCGATGCACGAGCCTCATTCCCCGTCGTTGACATGCATCGTTTGCTGTACCACATGGCCTGTAAGCTGCATAAGGCGGGGAAATGACGGGAAAATGACGAGCTTCTTTCTCCCCAGCTTTTCCACAACTCTATTCTCTCCCTGTAGCCACGTCGCCATACAAATGACCATTCCAGCTCATTAAAAGTTTCTCATATTCTCTCATTTCTGGAATACATCAAACATCACCACGTCCGTCTCAGAAGCACAGACGCTATATCTTCCGCGGAATATTACACCTGCCCCCATTGCCTTCGCAGCCTCCCTTCTGCATGCCCTCACAGTTACTAGTTGGCCTTCCCGTCTAAACAAATTTGCCGAGTTATGCTGACTTTCACACTCAGCCCTTGATGCTTGGGTCATGATTAGCAGATATCATCCAATATTGGCAGGCAAAAATTCAGCACCTACCCGCAATGTCCACTTTCAACGTCACAATAGATATCCTTTCCTGCCTACGCCTCAATTACTATTATTGGTGAGGCAACTACAACGTGTATTGTCCCTATGGAGCTGTAACACTTTTTTTGCCTCGGAACCCTGAGATACATAGGATGCTTGGTCACACGGATCAGGTAAAGCAACTTCATCTCACCTCCTGACGCCTCACAAGACTCTGAATTTGCTTAGTCACAAGCACTGAAAATAACTCGGCAAATATTTCCCGCCTACTCCAATCAAACATGAGCCCCTGCTCAGTAAGAAATCCTTCGAGCTGAACCGCCATTGTCTGAAACGGGTCTTGGACCAAGATACCCCTGATATGACGGGTCAAACTACCAATGCCCGCTGTGGATGATCTTCGGCATGGCCTCCTATTCCTTAGTTTCACTTATAGATTGGGACAATTTCTCCATCTTCAATACCCCCTCCTAAACTCCAGCGTAAATATCTTCTTGCCCTAGGATCGGCTTTACGGCTCGTACATACACAGCAAAGCTTCACCAAACACTATTCAGTCACTCACGTAGTTTCATGATAATTTTATGCCCTCATCACAACTCTCCCATATCAAATACCCCACTCCCAAGGAAGTATTCGCCCTACCTGAACGTGACGCCCGGCTTGGTGGAATCTTAATTCCCTACCTGTTACAGATTGCAAAAGTAATAATCAAGAACAAAAGGCCGTGGCCTACTTTACATTCTAGCGAAAACTTGAGTCGAAATTGATCTCATAAGCTGTCTAATGACCTATTGACCTAATGATCGATTATTTGTAGCCTTAAAAATTATAACTGATTTTTTGTCGATGAGTGATGAGTTGCTCGTCTAGGGATAGCGCTATGAGAGAGTAATATTTACAGTATATACGTATTTCTTGGATAGAGAATGTATTAATACTTATTTGTAACGGCCACAAGCCCTGCACTCAAAGAGCATGACACTGAGAAGACTAGTCCTTTCCCGGCGACTCTATGCGGCGATAACTCCATTTGACTTTCGGACTACTCACGTAGTGGGTGCATTCGCTGTTACCAATCGAGACCTTGTTGCTAGGAACTTTCACCCTTCCCTCAACCTTTAACATCCACCAAAGGGAAGATAGGATAACCTTTAGCTACCCTAACATGCCTTTGTCATCTTGTACATAGCCGCCGCACGAGATATGGCCTCACAGTCTTCCCTTTCTCGAGTGAGGTAGGTGTCCAGGCTACCCGGACTTTAATTCGGGGAGATGACGACCAGGAGGCGCACCAAAACACCTTCCATCGTTGCCTGTTGTTTGAGTGTCGGTTGCACTATCCGAAATCGTTGCCTCTGCGCCCACAGACGCCTTTAAGTCGAAATCACTCGAAAAATGTAAGTCCTAGTCTGCCCATTTGTGAGCTCTTTACTCGTTAGTCCCACACCTCAGCCATCTATCATCCCTCGAGATGTAAAGCACCACTAGAGCAACGGTCCCCATAGACCAAGACTTGAGCGCTGTATATTATGACTTAGCTTCCTCCTCGCGGGCATACAAAGCATCGTAATTTTATAGTGGGAGATGGCTGATTTTTGATGATGCAAATGCCCGATTGCCATGGGAGTAAGACCATCATCGAAAATCGAGGAGCGTTGGTTAGCGGTATGAGTGAGTTGAAGGACTCGCAAGAGAATGACAAGACCGAGATTGACGAGAAGTCGTTGATTTTAGATCTGCCTGTAGTTGCTTTCGACTTTGATTCGGATGCGATTCTTCTTGGCTATCCCAGATATGCCGAGCATACTGAGCCATTACACCGGCACCACTGGGAGGCGAAGGACTCGTCTTTGCCGGCTTTCTTGGTGGGATGTCTTCGTTGAACTACTTGAGTCTATGAGTATCTAGCACATTGAGCTCCTCTCTGAGCTAGGCTACCTCTTGTACAGTGCTCCCATCCTCTTATACGACGAAAAAGATCTCTCATATTGTCGTTATAATTAATCAATTTATTGTTCTGGATATTCAAGTAATTAATAGAGTTTGGAGAACCGGCGCACCTGCTTAGGTAAGCAGCATGGGTTTGATTACCAAGACTCAAATATGTTTTACTAGCTTTCGTTGGATAGAAGAGAGAATCAAGTTATTTTATATATATATTTTACCATCACCTAAGTGAAGTCACACATATATTGCCCGCCATGGATAACTATTCAACTCAGTATCTACCAGCAGAATCCAGCCACTATCCCCCGGAATGTTTGACCCAAAAAAATAAATAACCGCAACCCAAACTGCGTGCGCGGAGAAAAGTGCTAAAAAACCTGCAGGCCCAGCCAGGCGAGGCCTAGACAGCAGAACCACATGAGGTGCGTAAATCGACTTTTATCTACCTTCCTTGTAACACCTGAGGCCGACTCTATCGAATCCACCATCGCCGTATCCGGAGTTAGTTATTATAATTAATTCATTTTATTGTCCTGAATGAGTCTATGACTATGTAGGGCATGCAGGTCCTCTCTACCTACAGGCCAAGGATACCTATACAAGTAGTATATCCCCTTCTATGACTCCCATACAGCTCCCCTCAAACGGTACCACCCTTCACAAGTCCTCATTCGATCATACACTTGGAGGAGCCCTTTGCCCTTCATTGTCTCCCCTCTCCAGCCAACGAAACGATGGCCATTTGCGGGTGTATGGCAGCCGGGAAAAATCGCAAAAATAAAAAATAAAACAAAAACCACTGGGTGCGGAGCTCTCCTAATACCGACATTAGGACTAAATCCGAATACATAGTGATCCTTCTGATGCGTTCGAAGAGGCCGGCCAGCTGGGCGCTACAGACTTGTGGGTAACTCGGAAAATTCACACTCTGCCTTTCTAGCCTCCTTCCAACTCCTTCCCGAAAGTCGTGGTGAAATGTCAGAAAAGTCTTGACAGAGCGTGATTGCTGTATGGTAGCTTAGCCTAGCTTTTTTTGCGTCGTCCACGGCGCTAGGGAGTGCCATTGACTTATCGAAAAAAGAAGCCCTCCTGGCTCATTACCCAAGACATCGGTCTTGGTGCCCGCAGACGTTCCAAGGTTGAAATATCTCGCAAATATCAGACCAATTATTCCCCCACGAGGTCTCTTCCTCATCTCTTTCCACACCTCAGTCGCCATTCCTTCCTCAAGATGTATTACCCCATTAGTGTGACGGCTGTCGAGCTTAAGGGTTCCTGTAGCCTACGCTGTCTAGCGCAGGCAATTATACGAAGGGAGGTTCCTGAGAAGGTCTTGGATAAAAGGGAACCTAGATGATTCACATTGAGCCTT